TTACTTTGTCCTCTCAAATTCTCCATTTTTAGATTTGTTCTTTTTGTAAATTTTTTTAGTTATTTTCTCATTTTCAAAATCAAAATCCAAAAATTATGAGTGTTGCTTTTTTAGAATTAAATTGACTAGAGTAGCATAATTAAAAGTAAACATTCCTCGAATGATTGACCCGACTCACAATCCACTTTATTACTTAAAAACAACATGTGTACTTGCGCTACGTAATTTCAGCGAACAACCTTCTTCACATGGACACATGTACACATACTGCTTGGAAAAATAAGGTACACGATTTGCACGCTTGCAATATTTGTCATGTCTTATGAGATGCTGATTTGTGATCTACTTGTGATTGCCAATGCCATTAATCTTTGGATATCATTGTGACTTGCAAAACAAATGATAGAGAAAAACAATTGTTCATGTTATAAAGGGCCAAAACATTCATTTCTAAAAAATGCGAGGTATTAAAATTAAACCAATACAAATTATGAATGAACAAACATTTGAAAGTTTAGAAATGTATACAACTTGTATATACAGTTGTATTGTAAATTATTGTTGTAACATTTTTGGAAAAGAATGTTTACAAGAGTTTCATATATACTAGTGGATGGAAATCAGAAAGTGCGCGGTTGATAAACTTGTGAAACAATCATGTCCTCACGATGTTTGATCCTATCGAAAGAGATAAATTGTAAAACTATATATTAACTCAATTCAAGTTAGATATTTTTGGAATGTGATTGTATTTAAAATTTCAGATAGACACGTCACATATTTTATTATTCTTAGTTGGAAACTAACTCTTGAAAAATTTTGAAAATAAAAATGTAGACGTACAGGTGAAATACAAGTGTTAATGGATGCATCTGCTCAAATGTATTACTAAAAGTAAATATTAGAACTTCAAAGTGCTTATCTTATTATTTTTAAATATGCGATATTGAGCCTATGTTTGGCTCTCATTTTTTCAAAAACTCATTTTCAATCACACATACTCTTATAAAAATAATATAACACACATATTTTTCAAAAAAATAACTATTTCAAAACTCATTTTCCCCCAATTTTTCATTAAAATGGTGCCCAAATAAGAGTTGATATTTTTGGAAGTTTAAAAGACTTTGCAAATATGTAGGAGGATAATAAGAGCTTTGCAAATATGAGGTACCAAAAATTGTTATACAAGAGGGACATAAAATAACATGCATAAATATTATTATTTGTGTTCATTCCACAGTGATACACACACACACATTTCAGTTTAATTACAAAATTAAAAACCCATTATTAAAGATTGTAGCTTGTATAAATTGGATTTTTTTCCATGAATGTGGGGGTGAAATTTTTCTTATAAAAGGGATTAATTTTCGCTCAACTTGGATAATTATATCTGCATTTCATACTATTATATCCATATGATTTTGGTAACTCAATAAAAGACTCATTTTTTATCCTCTTATAATCGTGTCCATAGAAAGAAAACCAACTATAATATATATATACTATATCTACATTTCATATTATTAAATTCATATGATTTTGACAACTCAATAAAAGACTCATTTTTATCCCCCTATAATCGTGCCCATAGAAAGAGAACCAACCAACTGAGAGCTATATATGTTTTATGTTGAAGCCGTATTGTGTCGAAAATAGCCGCTTGAAGGGATGCAACAAGACTTTAGGACATTGTTCTTAACATGACTCCCTAAAGCTTGTTTTCTTAACTATCTTCTTTTGTTATAACTTTGTATTGTCGAATTATATTACTCATGTTAATGTTTAAAATTATTGTGTTAATTGATAATTTTTCTACATAGAAATCACTAGTTTCTCCAACAACTACTGTAAGTTAAATTGAACCATCAAGCACGATTCGTGCATATCGCAATGTGGTCACTGGGTTCGCAACAAAGTGATCGTTTGAGGAAGTCGAAGAAATCAAAAGCCCTGGAAAGTGTTTTCTTTACATAAAACTCATAGTCCTCTCTTAATCCCTTTGATTTAACGGGGCATGGGTGGTAATGAAGTGGAGGTATTCTGTAGGCCCAATTTGACCAGCCTCGAAACTTTGAGACGTGATATTACTTGGGCATTTTGGCCACATGACCTTTCTCTTCGCATAACAATACAAACATCCACCTCTCTTTCAGCATAGCCTTTGGCACTTACATTGTCATGCCCTCACCTCAATGGTTGTGCAACATTGCTCAAAAGTTTGCATCATGATTGGTTCATGACTATGACTAAGTCTACAATCATGACGTTTGCTAGTCAATATAATCTCAACATGAGCCCTATCATCGACGTGAAGCACCTAAAATACTTATCTTCACTAAGATGAACCAACATATGAAATGTACTATTTATTTAGCAGAAAAGTATTCACCACGGGTCTTATGTCCAAAGATCGATAGCATGGGTTTCTCCCAAGCACATAGTAAAAGCCCACAGATTCATCAAGTAACAAAAGCCATTATATTAACAACGAATAAGTTGAAATTTAGTGCCTGTCTGGGAGAGATTATTTGAGCCAAATAATGGATTTTTTTACCCATTTTTCTAACACCAATTTGCGGCTGTGAGACAAGAAAGTCAACTAATGCGGCTGCCTCCCCACCAACGGTCTGAAAATGACTTAAATTAAGGACTAAAATCAGAAACAGACATGCTTTTAATAACTTTCTTTTTAATTAATTTATAAAATAATAAAATTAGTTATAAAATAGACTGCCCATTTTAAATCAATGCATTTAGTAATTTCACAGAGAGTTTACAAGTCAATTTCGAATATGTAATGGCAAGTACAAAGCTTTTATATTAACTAGAAAAATATAAACTTTAAGATTTTTCTTTTAATGACCTTTTATAAATCTTTTTGGCTTAATAAAAGTATTTTCGGATTCTCACTCAATTTCGATTAGACACAAAAATGAACAGCGCAATTACAAGAAAGAACTATGCTACTGTTACAGGAAAAAAATTCTATAAAAATAACAGAACACGCACATGGGGGTGAGCCCCATTTTTTATAATAATATTTTATTCACATGGGGTCCACCCCATGTGAGTATTCTGACATTTTTACATATGAAATAGTTTTGTACAAGTGGTTTAATTGTACAAGAAATGTCATCATGCTATTATTTATTAATTTTTCTTTCGTTATTGTGTTTGATTTGATGTATTCCATAAATGACATCTATGAAAGAACTTGTTCCATATGCCTTATTTTAGCTCAAAACGTCAAAATTTGAAAACAATCCAAGTGCCTAAACTCAAGTGATTCATCACATGATCATAATAAGAAAAATCTCAAGTATCAAATAGATTGTTCGATTATGAACTCAAGAAATATACTATTTTATCCCGTATGTGACGACAAGAACGTGAATTATAGTTTTTTTCATGTATTCTCGTCTTTTACTCGACACACGATGATATTTCTGCATTTTTATTAACGGATGCTTCGTTTGTAGAGATTTTTGTTCAATATCATAAACAATGCACTTGGACCATATAATGATAGATAATTAATTATCAAGAACCTTAGCATGGTACAATGCACCAGTTCTTTGATTTTGACTTTGTCCTGCCATCTTGTGATTATAATCAATATTTTAAAAATCAACCCGACCATCAACTCGAAAAAGAAAAAGGGTCAATGGTCAAAAGATTGAACCATGATCGAACCGATAATTTTTAAAATATTAAAAAATATACTTTTTAAAAAATTAAAAAATATATACCTTTTAAAATTTAAAAAATTATACATTTATATAGGTTAACCAGTTAAACCGGAAATGAATAAAATTGGCCTGTTTAACGAGTTCGGACCGAGTTTTTAATTAGAGATTTTATAAGCCTAATTGAATCGATGTTGGTATGGGTTCTCAGTTTTCCCGATTGAACCGATCGATTCGGTCCGATTTTTAAAACATCGATTATAATTGCCTCCAAAGTCATCAAGCAATCACATGGAGCAAAATTCCATTCTCTTTGAAGGTGTCAAAAGAGGAATATGCCAATGTTCTACCTATAGCAAAAAGAACAAATTATTTTATACAAAGAGCATGTTTGTGTGTGCTTATAAGCACTTTATATTGTACCGCCAAACATGGTAAAAAATGACTTTCTAGGAAGTTGATAAAATTATAATTTGATAGAAATGAGGAGTAGATAAATAGCTAATAGTTGGGGTTCTAGATGCGTAATTGTAAATTTTATTATGTTGTAGACAATATAAGTCAATCCGCGACCAAGGAGAAAAGTTTAAGGCGTGAATAGGGTCGTAGTCCAACCCATTTCTTATGCCTTGTTAAGCCTTTGATTTCAAGTATTCAGTAGCTTCAAAGGGATGAACCCAGTTTAGGGGTGTTCTCAAATAAGATTTTAATAGATTTTGAAAGATTATAAATTGTAATATATTTTGTCGATTTGAATAGATTTTCAGAAAATCCAAAAAAATCTCATAAAAAATTGTGAAATTTTCAAAAGAGTTTGTTATATGTATTTTTAATCTTGAAATCCATCTAAATCTTTTAAATTTCATTATAAATCAATAAGTTATTGAGCATACCTAAAATTTAAAGAATTTCATTAAAATTTTAATAGATGACACCTAGATTATAATGAATTTCATTAAAATCTCAATTGAGGAAACCTAAATTTAGAAGAATTAAAAAATGCAGTTCGAAGAAATAGGTACCAAACAGGGGCTTCATTTCTTATTTATGTTGAATACATAAATAAGAAATTGCAGCAACAGACAGGAAAATTGAAACCAGATTTCCCGTGTTCATGACCAAGTTAATTCCTTCACATATGTTGGTTTCTCATTATTTTAGTAGCTTATGACAACGTAGGAAATAGGCTGTAATCATTAAATAACACAAGGGAAATCACTTATATAAGCAGGTAACAAATTCAAACTAATGCCAAAAAAAAAAAAATTAGTTTATAGAGAGAAAAAAAGTTTTGTTTGATTACCAAAGATGGGAATTTTATCCTTTGTCACAGCCATCTGCATACTAAATCTTCATTCACTGGCAATACTTGCAAATGATTACCCTAAAAAAAGTAGTTTAGAAACGTACATCGTTCATGTTGAAGCACCTGATGGCCAAAGTTTTACTCAATCAGTAGATCTAGACATTTGGTATCAGTCATTTTTGTCAACAGCAACGTCTAGCTCAGGTGAGGGACCAGAGATTGTTTATTCGTACCATTTTGCGTTCAAAGGTTTTGCTGCTAGATTATCGCCAGATGATGTAAAGGCCCTGGAAAAGAAGGAGGGTTTCATATCAGCGCATCCAGAAGAAAAATATTCTTTGCATACAACTCATAGTCCAAATTTCTTGATGATTTTACTGAACACCATACATCACTTCGTCTAGATAAACACTTCACCTTCTTTCTAACATCCCACGCCCACCCTACCATTGTAATCAATGGTTCAACCTATTCCCAAACCCGTCCATGCAATTGCAATTCACGCACAATTGTTAAAAAAAAAAAAAATTGCACCCATCGTTGCCATGCACTACAATCACCATCGATTTCTTCTACCAACACCTAAATCTCAAATTTGAAATTACGGTCCCATCTAAAATACCACCACCTCTTTCGGACAACATCAATTAATTTGAAATTGTAGATCTTTTTTTTTTTTTTTTTTCAATTTCCAAGTTCTTTTTTTTCTAAAATCAATATAATGGAGTCAGATTTGCAATATCCTCCTCATTTTGATTGTGGTATTCCATTGTTTTAAATAAGAAGCAGGTGACAGTGGTGATATGAGGCTCGATTCTAAGCATGGTTGTGGTCGATGGGTGAGGATGTGGGAGCGATGTTGTAGATCTACGATTTTTTGAGTGAGGAATAAGTGGTTGTGGTAGTTTGTGGCAGGGTTGTTACTATTTATGGCTATTTTGTTGGACTTTGGTTGGTGTTGGTGTTGGTGTTGGTGTTGATGATTGTGATAATAAATATTTCAAATTGTGGAACCAATAGAAATGGTGTAACAATTAATATTATAAGTTGTGGGATCGACCGTAGTGGTTAACATTGATTGTTACAAGTGATGATGTAGTAGTCAATTGTGTTGACAGTGAAAATATGCGGCAAGATGTGTATAACGTTGACAGTGATGGAAAAATGGTGGTGAAATGTGTGTAAAAGAGATTACAAAATATAATATGTTTGTTACAAATATTATTGTAAAAAATTATAATAAAAATAGTATTTTGAGAATAAAAGAAAGATTTAAAAGTAAATATAAAATTAGTATATGCTTAGTGCATTTTGTGAAATTCTTATGGTCGAATAGATAATATTGTGACACATTGCATCCATCTGAATTTTTAAACAGCAAATCAGATATAAAAGAATCAGATGTAATAATTTTAAACTTTCAAATTTCTAAAATCAGATATTTGACACACACACATACATACATACATACATAATATATATATATATATAACCAACTCCATCTCCATCTCCATCTCCACCTCCACTATCCCTACCATTCCGGAGACCATTCAGGCGATTGCTCTGATTCCGGCGAATATTTCAATGGCCGTTCTGCCGTCGATTTATTCCGACGAATGCTCCGATTTCGGCAACTGTTCCAACTCCACCACGATTTTTGACCTCTTGATTGTTGCTTGTGACTAGTAATATAAAATGTGACCTGTAAATTTGAACGATGACTCTACAAGCACATGTGACCTGTTAATATTGATTTGTGACCCGTTTATATTGATTTGTAACCTATAAAAAATGAATGTAACTTGTGAACTCAAACATCTGACAATGATATGTGACCTTAATGGCGAATTAATTAGCCACAGTTAACTATCAAATTAATTCGTAGGAATAAATCAGTGAATTAATTAGCCACGGTTAACTATAATACTTATCTGTGACCCATTTATATAGATTTGTGATCTATACAAAATGACCTTGACTTGTGAACTCAAACATGTGACCAGCAAATTGTGACATTGGCAACTTATTTATTCATTGCAAATCAATCACAATTTATCAAATTATTGGTCACAAATCACATATTCTATAGGTCACAACTTATTAAAATAATATGTCGTGTATTATTTTTCAATCACAAGTCACAAATTTTTTTATTTGTCACAAATTAATTAGCCACAGTTAACTATCATACTGATCTGTAACCCGTCTATATTGATTTGTGACCTATACAAAATGATCGTGATTTGTGAACTCAAACCTATGACCAGTAAACTGTGACCTTAGCAACTCATTTATTTATTGCAACTCAATCACAATTTATCAAATTATTGATCACAAATAACATATTTTATAGATCACAACTTATTAAAATAATAGATCACATATTATTTTTCGATCACAAGTCACAAATTTTTTTATTTGTCACAAATTATCGAATTTTAAGGTCACAGTTTAACAATATGTCACATCAATAACTTTTCCTTCTTATTTGTCACATATTAAAATTTTTTATAGGTAACAAGTTATTTCTCGGCCACGAATTAAAATTTTTTATATGTCACAATTGAAAAAATAAAACTTTTATTTGTCAAAACTCAATTACAGTGAGTCACAGTCACAATTTTAATTGGTCACACTCGATTACACGCACAAAATAATCACAGTCACCTCCAACCCCATATCCCCGACACGCCCGACACCCACTGCCGCATGCACGCACAAAATAATCAGTGTCACCTCCAACCCCATCTCCCCGACACGACTGACACCTACCGCCGCACGCGCGCGCACACCACAACCTCCCAGAACCCAACACCACAACCTTACGGCAAAACCACCACTGCACACACCGTCTCCCGAATCCAGATGTAGCATTTCCAACTCTCATTTCACTACCGTCACCACCCATCAACCACAATAGCACCACCATACCCACCACATTCAAAACCAAAACACAGATCTCATCTCAAATCTAAACAACTATTTGTCCAAAAAAATCCAAAACCAGATCCCATCATCTTGACGGCTGCGAACCACCAACGCTATCAGCGCTGCTGTGAACCACCATACCATTAGCATCGCTACTCGCGCACAGCAGCGACTGCGAACGGATATCTAAAGATCGAAGGTCTTGGGGGTGGTTGGGTTCGAAAGATCGAAGGTGCGCTACAGAGATGAAATCAGAGTTTCGTGATGTAGGGTAATCGAAGCGACCTATGATGGAGGTAAGGGTGGGCAAAATTCAAACCAAACTGCCTAAACCGACTGATTTGGGTCAATTTATTTTATTTTATTTTATTTTATAGTTGGGTTCAGCTTTTGGGCGAAGAAGACAGGTCGGGTTAGGTTGGGTCACAGATTAATCCAAGAAAACCGATTTAACCCGATCCAACCCATTATTTTCTATCAAATTACTTTGTCTAAATAAATCCCTCATCCTTCTTATCATCTCATCACTGAATTAAAGATTATTATCTCCTTAATGCACTTGACTTGGTTTTGAATCTCTAATTCTCGTTTCCTTTAGCCAAAATATCTTGCGAATATTTATTTTCAGTTCTTAGTAAATAACTATTTCATGTTCGGTGACTACGAGGAAAATTTGAGTAAGCTTATTGTAGTTTTTTACCCCACAGAGCCAACAATCAGTCTACAATGCATTTTTAATTGCAGGTACAAAGTGCCTCCATTTTCTTTTTTTACCATTTTTTATTTATGCATTTCATGTGGTTGATATGTTTTATTGTCGGAATATACTTTTATAATTTTTAATATCCAAACCGACCAATCAAACCCAATCCGGCATAAACTTGATTGGGTTGGAACACATAAATGAGTTGGGTAGGTTTGATTTTTGATCAAACCGACCGTATTGAGTTGGGTAAAAAATCGACCCAACCCACACCCACCCCTACCTGTATGGACGACAAGAACATTATAGTTTTTTTTTTCACTTATTCTCATCTTTTACTCGACGCACGATGATAATTATGCATTTTTATTAACCATTACTTCGTTCGTAGAGATTTTTGTTCAATATCATAGGCAATGCACTTGACATTCAACAAATGGCATAATGGTAGATAATTAATTATCAAGAACTAATGGAAGGTACAACGCATCGGTTCTTTGACTTTGACTTAGTCTTGGCTCTTGTGATTATAATCAATGTTTCAAAAATCAACCGAACATCGACTCGAAAAAAAAAAAATGGTCAAAAGTCACAAGGTTGAACCAGGATTAAACCTATAATTTTTAAAATATTAAAAAATATACATTTACAAAAATTAAAAAATATATATACATTTAAAATTAAAAATATATATAAATTTTTAAAATTATAAATTTATATAGGTTAACTAGTTAAACCGGAAATGAGTAAAATCTGCCAGTTTAATGGGTTAGGGCCGAGTTTTTAATTAGAGATTTTATAAACCCAATCGAATCGATTTGGATATTGGTTCTCAATTTTCCCAATTGAACTGGTCGAGTCAGTCCGATTTTTAAAACATTGATTATAATTGCCTCCAAAGTCATCAAGCAATTACATGGAGAAAATTCCAGTCTCTTTGAAGGTGTGTCCAAAGAGGAATATGCCAATGTTCTACCTATAGCAAAAAGAACAAATTATTTTATACAAAGAGCATGTTGTGAACCTCAAATAAAAATCTCATTAAAAATTGTGAAATTTTCAAAGGAGATTGTTGTGTGTATTTTTAATCTTGAAATCCGTCCAAATCTTTTAAAATTCATCTATAATGAAATCCTTATAAATCAATAAGTTATTGAGTATACCTAAATTTTAAAGGACTTCATTAAAATTAATTAAAATTTTAATGGAGGACACCTAGATTATAATGAATTTCATTAAATCTCAATTGGGGAAACCTGAATTTAATAGAATTAAAAAATGCAGTTTCAAGAAATTGGTACCAAACAGGGGCTTCATTTCTTATTTGTGTTGGATACATAAATAAGAAATTGCAGCAACAGACAGGAAAATTCAAACCAGATTTCCTGTGTTCATGACCAAGTTAATTCCTTCACATATGTTGGTTTCTCATTATTTTAGTAGCTTATGACAACGTAGGAAATAGGCTGTAATCATTAAATAACATATGGGAAATAACTTATATAAGCAGGTAACAAATTCAAACTAATGCCACAGAATCCTAAAAAAAAAAAAAGAAGAAAGAAAGGAAAAAAATAGTTTATAGAGGAAAAAAAGAAGAAGAAAAAGTCTTGTTTGATTACCACAGATGGGAATTTTATCCTTCCTCTCAGCCTTCTGCATACTAAATCTTCATTCACTGGCAATACTTGCAAATGATTACCCTAAAAAAAGTAGTTTAGAAACTTACATCGTTCATGTTGAAGCACCTGATGGCCAAAGTTTTACTCAATCAGAAGATCTAGACATTTGGTATCAGTCATTTTTGTCAACAGCAACGTCTAGCTCAGGTGAGGGACCAGAGATTGTTTATTCGTACCATTTTGTGTTCAAAGGTTTTGCTGCTAGATTATCACCAGATGATGTAAAGGCCCTGGAAAAGAAGGAGGGTTTCATATCAGCGCATCCAGAAGAAAAATATTCTTTGCACACAACTCATAGTCCAAATTTCTTGAAGTTAAACCAAAATATGGGATTTTGGAAGGATTCCAATTATGGTAAAGGTGTGATCATTGGTGTGATAGACACAGGAATCTTCCCTGACCACCCTTCGTTTAGCGATGAAGGGATGCCACCCCCACCTGCTAAATGGAAGGGAAAGTGTGAGTTCAATTATACTGCTTGTAATAACAAACTCATTGGAGCTAGGTACTTCAGCTTTGGAGACACGGCGCCACTAGACAATGATGGCCATGGCACACACACTGCAAGTACTGCTGCAGGAAATTTTGTGAAAGGTGCCAATGTGTTTGGCAATGCTAATGGCACTGCAGCTGGTATTGCACCCCTTGCTCATTTGGCGATTTACAAAGTTTGCTCACCTTTATGTTTGGAAAGCTCTATACTTGCTGCAATGGACACTGCTATTCAGGATGGAGTAGATGTCCTTTCCCTTTCTCTTGGTAGATTGAACATCAATTTCTATGATAATAGCATTGCAATAGGTGCATTTAGTGCAATGGAAAGAGGGATTCTGGTTAGTTGTTCAGCAGGAAATGAAGGTCCTTCTAACTTCTCTTTAATGAATGCCGCCCCTTGGATTCTTACAGTTGGTGCCAGTACCATTGACAGAAATATCCGTGCAACGGCACTTCTTGAAAACAATGAAAAATTCCATGGACAGTCGACTTTCCAACCAAATGATTTCCCTTCAACACTCCTCCCTCTGGTTTATCCCGCGATGCTTAATGCCAGTGATTTCAGCTTACGATATTGTAGTCCTCTGTCTTTGAACAATACTGACATCAGAGGGAAAATAGTGCTGTGTGATTTTGGTGGAAAGGTAGCAAGTATTTCTAAAGGTATAGCAGTGAAGAATGTCGGTGGTGCTGCCATGATTCTTGTAAACTCTGAAGAGTATGCAAACATGACTCTTTCAGAAACTCATGTCGTTCCAACAACACATGTCAGTTATGCCGATGGACTTAAGATCAAAACGTACATAAATTCTTCATCATCTCCAAAAGCCACAATTTTATTCGAAGGAACTATAATTGGCGATGATCATGCCCCGGTGGTTGCTGCATTTTCATCAAGAGGTCCGGGCTTGGGAAGTCGTGGCATCTTAAAGCCTGACATTTTGGGTCCTGGAGTCAACATCCTTGCAGCCTGGCCTGTCTCGGTTGAAAACAACATGAATACAAAATTGACATTCAACATAATTTCAGGCACGTCAATGTCTTGTCCACACCTTAGTGGTGTAGCAGCATTGCTCAAAAGTGCTCACCCAGATTGGTCGCCTGCTGCCATTAAATCTGCAATCATGACTACTGCTGATGTTGTTAATCTTGCCCGAGAACCAATTGAGGACGAACAATTCCTTCCAGCCAAAATCTTTGCCACTGGAGCAGGCCACGTCAACCCTTCAAGAGCAAGTGATCCAGGACTTGTTTATGACATTAAGCCTAAAGATTACATTCCATACTTGTGTGGACTAAATTACACAGACCAACAAGTTGGTATCATTCTTCGACATAGGGTGGATTGCTCGAAAGAATCAAGCATACCAGAAGAGCAGCTGAACTATCCTGCATTTGCTCTCACATTCACGCTTCTATCTCCTTCTCAAACATATACAAGGACACTAACAAATGTGGGTGAGCCGAAGTCCTCCTACAGTCTAGAGATTGTTCCACCACCCGGGATTGAGGTACGTGTTGAACCCAAAAAGCTCAACTTCTCAGAATTGAATCAGAAGATCAGCTATCAAGTGACATTCAACCGATTGTCATCTGCTGCAAACAATACCGTTGTTCAAGGTTTTCTAAGATGGACTTCACATAAGCATTCTGTTATGAGTCCTATAGCTGTTTCATAGCAGTGAAACACCCAAAGAATCTCTGCCTATCCCAATTGTATACACCAAAATGTCTTGTGCTTCCTTTCTTACACAACAGTAAGAGACTTGACTCCGAAACATCGTCCAACTCTTACCTGATAATCCAACCTTAATCACGTGTTACAAAGGAAAACATCGTTCATCGCTTTTTCTGCATTTTGTGTTTACATTATCATTATGTCCATATCAATTAATCTAAAAAAAAAAAAATCACATAATATCTTTTATAATAAATTAATTTTCATTGATCATAAATTAACTCGCTCAATCAAAATTTTGAATTGGACAAGTGACTCGATATAAAATTGAACTTCAATATGTGATTTCTTTTATGGGAAGTAATTTACTATAAAATTGATAGGCTGAGGACTAACAGTGTCGATAACTCAGGTTTAGAACCAATTAGTAACATTTCTCATAGGTTGAGGATCTCTAACGTAATATTTTCTGTATTTAACATTTTTTGAATAATGCTTGCAAAATAAATACACTTCGGAAATTGATAAAATGTGGGGTTCTGTATTGCAATTATTATTGGCTACATTTGAAAGTTGTAGTACTCCTTTCGAAAATTGACATAATGTGGGGGATCTTCATTGCAATCAAGTGATTGCATCGAATTTTTATAAGAAGAACCAATTATTTTATACAAAGTGCATGTTTTTGTGTGCTCATAAGAACCTTATATTGTACACCCACAACATGCTAAAATTGACTTTCTAATAAGCTGATAAAGTTATAATGCGATAGAAACGAGGGGTGGATAAGTAATTGATAGTTGCGAGTCTTACGAAATATGTAATTGAAAAATTAATTATTGATTTTAACAATTACATTATAAAAATATATATATAATATTTCTCAAACATGCACTAAATCATTTATGTAGTAGACAATATAAATCAATCCGCGGAGTTCCTCTATTCAAATGGAATTTAGAGGCTCATAGTCCAACACATTTCTTATGACATGTTAAGCCTTTGATTTCAAATATTCAGTACCTTCAACTTCAAAGGGATGATCCATCAATTTAGTCTCAAAAATTCGCCCTAGTTTGATTTTGCTAAAAATCATATTTTAATAGTTTTGATAAAAGTTGATAAAATATATGATTATAATATTTATAAAAGTTGTGGATCTATGAAATATGTGAATAAAAATAAGTTTGAAGAAAAATGAATTTTAAGAGATGGGAACCTAACAAGGCCTTCATTTATTATTTTCTTATTTGTGTTGAATGCAGAAATATGAAATTGTAGCAATAGAGAGGAAAATTCATACCAAATCTCGTGTTATGACCAAGTTAACTCCTTCATATATGTTGGTTTCTCATTATTTTAGTAGCTAATGACTAGGAAATAGACATTAATCATTCAAAAACATAAGGGAATCACTTATATAAGCAAGTAACAAATTCAAACTAATTCCACGGATTCCCAAAAAATAGTTTATAGAGAAAAAAGAAGTTATGTTTGATTATCAAAGATGAGAATTTTGTTCTTCTTTATAGTCATTTGCATACTAAATCTTCATTCACCGGCAATATTTGCAAAAGATAATCCTAAAAAAAGCAGTTTAGAAACATATATCGTTCATGTTGAAGCAATTGATGGCCAAATTTTTAGTCAATCCGAAAATCTAGACAATTGG